GAATAAGTGATAGAAAATAGCCAATAAAAAAGTACAAATTAAAGGCATCTCAGGGTTTTGTTTTCTTTGTGTCAGGAGCGACTTGAGAAACTGCAAGTCGCTTCTGGTGTGAGAGTATTGGCTGTTTGCAAGGACGTTGCCCAGAGGATGCCTGGATGTTTTGATGTTTTACTATCCTTGTGGGAGGCTTCTCTCATGACCCCGCATGGGGAGTTGGAGCTGACAGAAGGAGCTCATCCACACTCTCCCTGGATTTGAACCTGCGACCAGTCCTGCCGGGTTTAACTTGGCATTTCAGTAATAACATGGGAATAAAACAGAAACTTATACTGCAATTTGCAATATTAACAAAAAGGTCTGAAGGTGTTTTCAGGTAAGGGGAGAAGCCAAAAATAATGATTCAAGAAAGTAATTATAGAAAGTCCATTTTGAATTATAATTGGCTTATAATGAGCTTTTCCCACTTTGGTGTCCTCCGGCTGTTTTTGAATATAATTGCCCCAGCTATAATTGGGTGAGGAAAGTTGTAGTACAACACATCTGGAGGCCTTCATGCTGGTGAAAGCTAGCCTACGGAATGTAGTGGGTGATGTACTTTATGGACTCTGCCTATTCAAAATTCAGCTTTGGAATAAAATACCTGAAGGGGAGGAAAATGCTCAATATGGTAAAGTAGCAGCATCACCAGGCTGTCTATGACCCCTTTCGCATACCACTGCAGTACTCATTTATCATATGATTAACTGCTTATGTAGGACAGGCTGTTTACACCCCAACAGGCTTTTTGTGACCCAAAAGAAGAGAGTTGTTTTTTTTTTTAGCTAAGCTGTGGGTCTGTTCACACTACATAATTATAGCCATATCATTCACTCTCACTGTTCAGTCTATGGAATCCTGCAGTTTGCAGTTTAAGGGATGTTACTGAGAATTCTCACCCAGGGAACTTTAGTGCCTTACCAAACTACAAATCCCTGGATTCTATAGGAGGCATCCATAGCATATGAAGTGAAATCAGAGTGCTATAATTATGTAATGTGAAAGGAACTGGGTCTTAATACAAATTTCACCTATGGGGCATCTATTCTGTCCTATGCTGGATTTGATTGATACCAAAATGGTTTCTTAGTAGGCACTAATCCTTGTATTTGTAAAATCTTTTTGTCCTGTTCTGCGTCAACAGTTCTTTCAACATTGAGAGGTCCTCCTCTAAGACAAAGCTTGAGCTTGTTGGAAAAATGAACAGGAACATTTTGTTACCACCTTTTGAGTCTGTTTGATCCTTCCCTTAAGGCTAAGAAAAACTAATTCCTTGCAGAGCCTGATGCATCATACAGGATGAGTATTTTTCTTTTTAAAAATATGCATATATTAACATGATCTGACATGGGCTTTTCTGTTTATATTCTACAGCAATAATTGCTCATTTGATCAACAACACACAGCAGAAAAGCAGTGCCCCTTCTCATAATAAAAGGGGGGGGGGGAGAGCTCAGTGCAAAGCCCCAAGGGAGCACAAGGTTAGTTCAGGACAACGTACAAACATATGGCATCATCATCACGGGGGCGCATTGGGTGCCAAAAGAGGATGTGTGTGTGTCCTTTTTGGTTTCTAAGCAGGAAAGAGCTCTGAACCAAAACAATGTGGATGTGATTGACTAGCAGTTTGCTTGAAATAAATGCGGGGTGGGGAGTATGTATGTGTATGCGTGTTAACAGAGGACAGACATTCCAGTTAGCAACAGCATATCAGTATTTTTCAGGCAAAGGGCATACCGATAGATGGAGAGGAGGAGGGAAAATACTGATAAGTAAATGGAAAAAGTTAGAAATGCAAATGCATGGTCACAGGAGGACATAAAATGAGGATATTGCTTTCCAAGGAAGAATTCTCTCCTCCTCCCCATTTAATTTTTTCTTCCAGCATTGGACATAGTGAATCATTAAAAATGGTTCACACTTGGATATCCCTATATGTACTTTGTTCATATTATGCTGGCTTATTCTGCAATTCCCAGTGATTTTGTAATGCATAGTTTCATGCTGGATGTGTGTTTCAGCGTGCATTGGGAAAGTACACTTTGTGGACACTCCAATTTCAAGATGGCTTCAACTGCATTTTAATGCCAATCTGGAACTGCTCTGTTAGTCTCAAAGTTGCTTCAAGGTTCCAGACTAACACAATTCTGTCTTTGAATTTTGGGGAGCGCTAAGAGTTAATATGTTTCTTCCCTCCCCCTCTCCCCAACAAAAAAAGAAGGAAAAAAACCAATAAAGTGTATACTTTCTCTTGCTCATGTGGCCACTGACAATAACATTCAGCACTGCATTTTAAAAATTGGGTTGCTTATAAGCAAATAATTATTCAAATGTACACTGACTAATTCCTCTCTCATTTATTCCTTCATATCCTTGACACTGTTGGTTTACATCACCTGTGGGCTGTGGACCACCAGTGGGCCGCAAGGACAAAAATCAGATCTGCAAGCCTCCTTCCTCTTTAATTTTTTCTCCTTTCATACCGCCTGCCACTCCTTCCCTGTTGCTGACCATGGTATATGTTCTGTAGCAGAAATTAGAGCTGATGTGGTCTAGCCAATGCAATTTTCTGAGTCAGCACCCCAAACAGAATCTAAAGTTGACCAAAAACCGTTTTTAACCCTTTTGGTATTAATGTTGGAGAGTGGTCCCTGGTCAAAGTGGTCCTTGGTCAAAAAAAGGTTGGGGACCACTGGTTTACACAGAGTATCTCTGGTAGGTTGCATAAAGGGTAGTGATAATTGTTGACTTGCTTGTGGCACAAATAAATCTTATTAACTTTTAAATGCCTGAAAATCCGTGAAGTGTAGTGGTTTCAGCATTGGACTATGAAGATGTTTGGCCATGGAAACCCACATGGGCAAGACATCTTCTCAGCCTCAGACAAAAGGAAGGACAAATATCTTCAGAACAAATCCTGCCAAGAAAACCTCCTGATAGGTTCACCTTAAGGTCACTCTAATTCTCAATATCTTGAAGTCACACAACAAACTCTATATTCCACTTGTGTACTCAGAATTTGTGGAAGCAGTGCCATCTCCTGGCAAAACTGTGTAATAACTTCTACACTTCTACTCTGCCAGTCCAAGTGTGCATCTTGTGCTGCTGTTTGGCACTAGAACTTCAAATATTACTTTTTTAAAAGCCAAGTTATGTCAGCCATCATTGTGATTACACAAACAGGTCAGTATTGGTTACAGTTAATAGTTGTTACAGGGGAAATTAACTTATTTTGTCAGTTCACATCAACCCAGCCAATGCAACTACGCATTCGGTGCTAATGTCTGGACCAGACAGCTTGGAAAGTCAGCTCCCTCCACCCAGGGTGAACTTTCTTTCTGGTAGTTGCAGCCATCTCTTTCATAAGGACAAAACTGCCTGAGCCAAATTTGAGAACTGCAAGTAATATGCAATGCAGAAGAGCTGCAGGTTTTGGAATCCCTGCAGGGCCATTGAGACCAACTGGGGGAACCTGGGAGCCACACACTCTCAAGCACAGCGATTGCAATGGCAACCTGACTTTGAATAAATCTTGTCAAGATAATCCCATGACATGTTCACCATAAATTGAAAATGACAAGAAGGCACACAACTATCATCATTTACCATAATCTTAATTAGGACTGTTGGGAGAGTTCACTACATCAGCTCAGTGGGGTTGAGCATTGTGACAATTATCATATTATTTGTTACATTCAACATAGTGATTTTAAGTTCTTATAGATGATCTGCACATGCCTCAGGTACCTAAACAAATTGTCTCAGATGAACTGGCAAGTCAGTTAATTTAATTTCAGATATTCCTTTTGTGATACCACAGATGCTCTGTGGTTGAAGGCCTTTCAATCTCAGAAGGCTGCAAAACCATAAAAGAAACCAAACTTTGACTTTCCTTCTCCCACATAGCCAACATAGTTGCTTTTTAAAGAGAGTTTCATGTCAAAGATCCTTTGCCTTTTAAAATGATCAACCATTTCCTCCTGTTTTTATTCAGAGCTTAAATGTTATTATGAGTTCTCTTGACATTTTATGTGACCGGATAAGGACAAAATCTTATAAATATCTTAACCTTTAAAATAACTTCAGAAATTGTTATTTGAGTGCTGCTCCTGCGGTGAAACAGGCAACTATCAAAACAGGGCTCTTTCAATGATGGAATCAGTTTTGGGCACTCTTCTGCAGATTTGGAGGGTATTAACTGTTGCTGGGGAAAATGGAAGGAAAAAGGAAGAGGGGCCGACCAAGGGCAAGATGGATGGCATCCTTGAAGAGACTGGATTGACCTTGAAGGAGCTGGGGGTGGTGACGGCCGACAGGGAGCTCTGGCGTGGGCTGGTCCATGAGGTCCCGAAGAGTTGGAAACGACTGAACAAATGAACAACAACAAACTGTTGCTGTTTAGCCACACCATTATGATCTTTGTTTTCTCTTTCCCGGTTCATTTTGTTCCTGACTGCTACAAAATTCTACTTAAAATAATAATAGTGATATACTAATAAACTTTATTTATATACTGCCCTATCCCCCCAAAGGGAGTCAAGGTAGACAGTACTGAAAGCTAGACAAAACCACATAGCATTGAAAATAGCCATTCCACAAGCCATTTGCCTATCTTATTTTACCCAAAGGAGAGTTTTTGTATCTAAGAAAAAAGGCAATTGAGTTAAAGCCAATTAGTCATGCTTAGAATAGACAGAAAATGGCAGGGCTTTTGTTAGTCATGAACAATGTGTCCCAGTGATTTCAATTGAGTCTCAATTCAGCCCAATGTAACCATCAACTGAACCTAAAACAAACAGAAAGACAGAGGCAGAGATACAAAGATATTGTGAGAAAACTGTACTGCCATATCTAAAAGAAGCATATGGTTTTAGCAAAAGGTTATTATGCCCTGAATACTCTTCCTTCCAAATCTATAGGATAGTAACACAGATACTGTAAAGAAGGGAAAACACTCGTGCTAATTTAGTAAAAAAGATGTTTAATGCATCATGTTTTCAATATATTTTTGGAAAAGGAAAAACTATTTTCACATAATTTTGCACATTTCTATCAATCTCCTAATGTGTTACATGTGGCTTTCTTGTGTGCATCTACCAGTATGCAGATCAAAAGTAAGGTTGACATGACATGTATTTCATTGAACACACATGCCCTGATACAGAGAACCCAAACATGTCAGATCCACACTTTCCAAAGGATGCACAGACATCACCCATCATCTAAACTCATTTTGTACACCACGTGACCTATTAGATACTAAAGCGTGGACCATCTATTTGGGAGGGTTAGGAGTAGAGATATAAGCCCAAATCAAAATACTCTTCACAATCTTCCAATTCTAGCTACTCTTCCATGTTCTCAAAATGGGATTAGCACGATCAGGTTTGACTGATGGCCACACCCACCCATTATTATCCTTAGGGGTTTTTTTTTTATCTGGTCATGGTGTTCAGCCTTGATAAACTCTCATTTTCAATACATAGAGACATGTAAAAAACTATTACTATTCCCTCCTTTAAATTTATACAATTTATTCTCTCACAAGGAGACAAAACAAATCCTGGTGTAAAAAGGATGCACAGCGTTATTACTTTTAGCTTAAATCATAAATGGAGGAAATAGATGAACAGTGTTTTTACTTTGTACTGTAATTCTATTTACATCAGTAACACTTCAGAATACATTGTTTTGTTTTTCACAGTTGAGAAAAATAGACACAAATTTGTTAATAACCCAACTGCATGTAACAAATGTTGGTATTTATAGTAGTAGAAATGAGAAAACAGTTTCTTCCTTAATCTCTCTTTATTCATTGTCTCTTTGGAGAGGCGTTTGGGTTGTGAAGATTTTATTATCCAATCTTCTTCACAGCTAAAAGCAAATCCAATCTGTGCTTCATAGCAGTCACAAAAAGGCACTAGCCCATTAAGTAGCCCCTAGAATAGAAAACATTGAGAGTTAAATGTGTGTAAAATGAAATCAATAGTAGATGGGAATGATACTAAAGGAAAAGAAGAAGTCCTTCAAAGCAAGTACTTTTTTGCAGGAATCAGCAGGAAAATTACCTGTGGGTCACATGTTTTGGCTGCACTCACAGATATACATAGCTGAAATCTGTTCATTTTTTCTCTTTGGTGTTTCGGGTTTACTGCAACTCACATTTTTATAATATTCTAATAATAGCTATGTGATTCCATGGCTGTCATTTTCTAACACCAAGAAAAATGTCTATTATGCAAACTATGTTGTTAATAGCCATGGCCTTTAATTTTACTTATTTTATAAACACATACATGCCCACAAACATCTCCCACCTCTTTCCTAAAGTGGGAGGGAAGGGACTAAAAATGACTTACATATATTTAAAACAAAGTCCAGTTAAAATCTTATTTACAAAGTTGAAAAATAGTTAAACAACTATTTTTTAAAGCACAAAATGGAAATTGAAAGTTTAAAAATATTTAAAACTCAATTAAAAGATGTAGGTACAGCACACCATATCCAAAACGCACCCTGTCCCATAATGTAATCACCAAAGATCTATCTAAATTAAAAGACAAAGGAAGAGAACCAATGGAAACTCTACTGCAGTGGTGTCAAACTTATGACCTTCTAGGTGTTTGGGAGCCCAACTCCCAGAAGCCCTAGACAGCTTGTCCAATGCTCAAGAATTCTGGAAGCTGAAGTCCACTACATCTGGAGGGCCACAAGTTTGACACCACTCCTCTAGTGGAAGGGAGTTCCACAGCCTGGGTGCAGCCACTCAGAAGGCTCTCTTGCATGTTGACATCAACCGTTCCTGAGATGGAGATGGGAGTGAGTAAAAGCCTGTGTCAAATATCTTAAAATTTGGGTCAGCTCATATAACAATATATGGTCTTCTAAATAGTCTGCACTCAAGCAATGTAGAGCTTTAAAGATCATAACTAGTATGCTGAATCTTCCAAAAAATGAACCAGTAGCAAGTGAAGCTGCTTCGATTAGGATGTGTCTGTGTGAAAGATGCTCCCTGCATAATGGCCATTGCTGAAATTTGCCCAGATATGAAGCCAAGTATATGTCCTAGATGTGGATTTAACATTTAAGGGGGAATGTAATCTCTTCCAGCATAGGCCAAATCTCTATTCCCTGATCTGCCTTATGACTGACAATGAACACCTGTCTTCTGTGGGTTAAATTTAAAATTATTTACTACTGTTAACAGAAAGTGGTTTAGTGTTGAAACAGCTTCCTTTGGATTAGATGGAAAAGACAGATGGAATTGGGTGTCATCAGCATATTGTTGTTATTCTTGTTATTGTTATTTAATCCTGGCTTTTCCCCAAGATTGGGACTTAAAGTAGCTCACGACCTAAAAAGCAATACAATTAAGGGTCACCCCTCCCAGAAGTAAAACAGTGTTCCTGAGTTCCATTCCAGAGAGGTGTCCCAGAAGAATACCACTGTCAATGGCATCAAAATGCACTGAGAAACCCAGCAGAACCAACAGGGACACACTCCTCTTTTCTAGTTCCCAGCAAAGGTCATTCACCAACATGACCAAAGTTACCCCCATAGCCAGGCCTGAAAATTTAACAAACCACTTGTAACATTTCAGACCAGGTCACTTTCCTTTCCTTAGGCCTTAGTTAAGCTTTTGGATTTTGATGAAGTTTGGAAGGAACAATAAAAAATATAAGAGGGGAAAAAAAGTTGACTTACGGCAGTTTCATCCGCATGAACACTCTTGCCATAAAGAAACTCAGCAGAACGCTGACAAAGCCAATAAAGAGCAGCAGAAATCTATTCAGCTTTGGTATATTTGGTGCATTGGAACGATCCAGAATAATGAAACCAAGGCCTCCCATTGTGAAGAGGAAGCTGGAAGCGAGTCCCTCCATGATATACTGTCCATTTACTCTGCATACAAAATGAACAATATTAGAAATATAAAAAGAAGAGACATAGAGAAATACAAAGCAACTAACTGACTAGTAATTTCAGGGCAAATTCCATTTCAGATATGAAAGGCAGAAAAAAAACCCTCCCAGTTTCTATGCTTGCTGCAGGGAAAAAGAATGCTATTCAAAGAAGGTTAAAATGTCCCAGAAATAAGAAAGAATTGAATAGAGTGACTGTTTTCATTTGATCATGCATTTGGCAATCATTTTTTATAAAAACTAGGTTTCTTTCCAGGAAGAGCCATCTCAAATGTATCAACCACCACTGATCTCTAGCCTTGAATTTCAATTATGACCACCTCTCAAGTGCTCTCTAAAACATAATGATCATATGACTCCTTCTACCAACAGATGGGATGAATCATACCGAAAATCATCTTGGTTTTCATTCTTGACAGCAAATCCATACATATGTAGTAAAGATCTTTATTCGAGTTGTTGAAAAGGTCTGGCATGTATACTAAGCGTTTACCAACCTGTTTGATACCCATTAGCGAGCATGAATTCCATGCAGGTCAGTGACTTAACAACCAAAAGGGCAAACCAAAGAGGAACAGACTCCTCTGTCCACAATAAGCCTGTACAGTCAGCCCTTCACATTTGCTGGGGTAGGAATGGGGAGTGGGGGACAGAACCCTCATAAAAGTGGAAATGTCACAAATGAATAGCTATCATTCTTATAGAAGAGAACACCTTTCTAGCAATCTCTGGATCCTCCAGCATGACTGTTTGTTAGCCCTATGTCTGTGAGCAAACTTTACTAATGAATTGTTAGGTGTCTTTTTCTTTTACTTCTCATTCCTAGCCATTTCTTTGTATTTTTTAAATTAGCTTGCTAATACTTTGTATTTTATTGCTACCAACCTCTCAGCAGGATATATATTTTGTAGGCCAATAACTTCTGTGTGTGTGTTTAAAAAGTAAAAATAAGATGGCACATGAATTTCTACACATTTTCTTGCATGCAGGCAAAAGTGAATCTAGGTCATGGTATTTTGGCACACAATCTAACATGCAAAGGGACAGCACAGAGAGATTGTGTTAATATAAACCTTTACCTGTAAGCTAAGAATGCCACTGGCCTCTGATGCCCATGTTCATCTGTCATGGAGCCAACACTGGGAGGTTCTACAATCACATCATAAATTATTCCTAAAAATAAATAAAAGTATAGAGAGCTTAAATAATTTGTCATAAACAATTCAATTAAACATTTTCTATGAAAATTCTTAATTTGAACGGATTGGTAGCATATTGTTGGGCTTCAATCCAAAATGTAAAATTGGTGTGTAGCTCGGATGGCAACTGAAGATGCAAGACTGTGAAGGCTTACCTTTTAGTAAAGTTGGCAGAATGTGTTCAGGAATTTCCAGTAGCTTTTGAGTCAAACTCAAATATAAATAGAAAAGCAAACAGTTGTGTTTGGTAAGTTATGTTTTCAAGAACATTTAGACCAGAGCTTCTCAAACTGTGCTCCTCCAAGTGTTTTGGACTTCAGCTCTCACAATTCCTAACAGCTATTAACTTGGTTGGGATTTTTGGGAGCTGAAGTCCAAAATACTTGTTTGAGAAACACTGATTTAGACACATAAATAATTTATCGCACCACAAAAACTCACATATATTTCTGTGCTTCTTTTTGGCTTATTGGCTTATCATGCATCTTTAAGTCTTGTAATTCTTTTTTTCATATCAGGAATGACTTAAGAAACTGCAAGTCACTTCTGGTGTAAGAGAATTGGCCATCTGCAAGGATGCTGCCCAGGGGACGCCCGGATGTTTGATGTTTTACCATCCTTGCAGGAGGCTTCTCTCATGTCCTCGCATGGGGAACTGGAGCTGACAGAGGGAGTTGAACCTGCTCTCTCCAGATTCGGACTGCTGACCTATTGGTCAGCAGTCTTGCCAGCACAGGAGTTTAAACTCATTGTGCCACCGGGGGCTCTGGAACACATACTGTATGGCTGAGCCACATAAGGTATGGTCAAAAAGCAACAAGAGGGAAAATTACGGATGAAGAAGAACATAGAGAGCTACTATCTGAAGTATAGAAAACCTGAAATTTATATATTGAGTTTAAGAAGGACAAGACCTGCCCTGTCTCTCCCTCGCCCTTGCTGAGTTAACTGAGTACCAACTATCTTGAAAGCAGCTTGTAGCAACTAAAGTAACCTGAGGAGAAAGGGGAAACAATATCAGAGCCTGGTCAAAATAGTGTCAGTTATTAATGATGAGGTTGCTGGGGAGGTTGTGGGTGGGAATTGGAGGGGGGGGGGGTAGTGAGTTTTAAGTGTAATTTTAATTGTATTTATTCTATTTCAACTTTATATCCACACACAACTATTTATGTTTGTATATTTTTGTTTTAAATTGCTATTAGATTGTGTGGCTGTTAGCCGCCTTGAGTCCCTATGGGGAGAAAGGTGGGCTACAAATAAAGTTAATTATAATAATGCATTTCTGGCAGGAAAAGGATTATTTCCTTTCCAGGATGCACATGGCCCTGTCAAGGTTGTGAGCCTTTCAAGGTCTGGCTGCATATCTGTGGAAATGTCCTCTTTTGGACATCAGTCTAGAGCAGGCTCTCAGCTGTTGTTTTGTAAAGGATTGAAGACCTTCCTCTTTGATTCATCAGATTAAGGTGCTGAGGTATTTCTAAGTTTGTGGAGATGAGTAGTGTGGTTTACGGGGTATTTCATGTATAATTTATAGCATATTGTATATTTGTATATTTTAAATTGTATTGCAATGCTTTTAGTTTTGAGTTGCTTTGACTTTCCGTATGGAGAGAAAAAGCAGGATATAAATAAACATAATAATAATAATCCTTCATCCAAGTCATTCATAACGATGTTGAATCAAATTTGCAAAATTCAAAACTGCAAATGCAGAGGGGATACTTAATCTTATTTTGGTTTTACCTTCTAAAGGTCATTTAAAGTGAGAGAAAACATACAGGCCTCTACCCCTTATATCTAACCAAGCAGTGAATGGTAACACAGATTAGGTTAAAGGCTTTGATCCTTAAAAAAACTAAGTTTATTGAGTTGGTTGGTCAGAGTTTTACCTCTGTGCCATTTTCATGCGGATGCCGGTAGTAATATATTAAGGTAAAAAGGTAAAGGTTTGCCCTGACATTAAGTCTAGTCGTGTCCGACTCTGGGTGGTGGTGCTCATCTCCATTTCTAAGCCGAAGAGCCGGGATTGTCCGTAGACACCTCCAAGGTCATGTGGCCACTGGCATGACTGCATGGAGCACCTTCACCTTCCTGCAGAAGTGGTATCTATTGATCTACTCACATTTGCACGTTTTCAAACGGCTAGGTTGGCAGAAGCTGGGCCTAACAGCAGGAGCTCACCCTGATCCTCAGATTTGAAATGCCAATCTTTCGGTAAGCAAGTTCAGCAGTTCTGCTGTTTTAACCTGCTGTGCCACCAGGGGGTGCAAGTTGTAATATAGTACTTCCAGTCAAATTCATCTTGACACAACTGAAGACAGGAAATGTGCAAAGGAGAGAAATCACTCTTGCGGTTGCTAGGTAACCAACCACATGGTGATCACCTCTGCTTCTGGACTACAAGGCACTCTTGTGTTGCCCAGCAACCGTCCAAAAAACCATGCAAATAGCTCCTCTTTCTGTCCCTATTTCCCAACATTTCCCTTTGTAGTTTATTGTTAATGAGAAGGTCTAACAGCTGCTCTTTCTTCAATGCTGGAGACACCTGATGAAGTTTCACCCTAGTTGGGGGCAAACGGATGGCAATCTCGGGTTTGAGCTACCTCTGCCATGTCTTAATCAATGGAAGTCATTTGCATGAATTACTGTATTGTCTAGGGCAGGGGTCCTCAAACTTTTTAAGCAGAGGGCCAGGTCACAGTCCCTCAAACTGTTGGAGGGCCAGATTATAATTTGAAGGGAAAAAAAGCATGAATGAATTCCTATGCACACTGCACATATTTTATTTGTAGTGCAAAAAACACTTAAAACAATACAATAATTAAAATGAAGAACAACTTTAACAAATATAAACTTATTAGTATTTCAATGGGAAGTGTGGGCCTGCTTTTAGCTGATGTGATAGGACTCTTGTTATTGTTGTTGTGTGCTTTCAAGTCATTGCAGATTTAAGATTGACCCTGAGCGAGGGCCAGGTAAATAGCCTTGGAGGGCTGCATCCAGCCTTAGTTTGAGGAACCCTGATCTAACAGCTGCTCTTTCTTTGATGCTGGAGACACCTGATGGGAGTTTCACCCAGGTTGGGGGCAAACAGATGGCAATCTCGTGTTGGGTTTAAGCTACATCTGCCATATCTTAATCAGTGGAAGTCATGTGCATGAATCACTGTATTGTCTAAGGCACTGTTTCTCAACCTTCCTAGTGCTGTGACCCCTTAATCCAGTTCCTCATGTTGTGGTGACCCCGAACCATAACATTATTTTAATTGCTACTTTATAACTGTAATTTGGCTACTGTAAATATCCGACATGCAGAATGTATTTTCATTCACTGGACCAAACTGGGCACAAATACTCGATATGTGGGGTTCAGGAGATTGATTTTGTCATTTGGAAGTTGTAGTTGCTGGGATTTATAGTTTGCCTACAATCAAAGAGCATTCTGAACTCCACCAATGATGGAATTGAACCAACTTGGCACACAAAACTCCCATTACCAACAGAAAATACTAGCAGTGTTTGGTGGGCATTGACCTTGAGTTTGGGTATTGTAGTTCACTCCAGAGAGCACTGTGGACTCAAACAATTGTGGATCTGAAGCAAATATTGGCACAAATACTCAAAATGACCAAATGTGGACAGTGGTGGAATTTGGGGAAAATAGAGCTTGATATGTGGGAGTTGTAGTTGCTGGGATTTATAGTTCACCTACAATCACAGAGCATTCTGAACCCCACCAATGAGAAAATTGGGCCAAGCTTCCATGCAGAACCCCCATAAACAACAGATAAATACTGTGTTTCCTGATGGTCTTCGGTGAACCCTCTGACACCCCCTTGCGACCCCCCCAGGGGTCCCGACCCCCAGGTTGAGAAACACTGGTCTAAGGCCTAAATATCATGCAATCTTGGAAACTAAGCAATCCCATGCAATCTTGGAAACTAAGCCAGGTCAGACATGGTTGGCACTTGGATGGGAGATCCAAATAAACAATGTCTAAATGAATGGATACTCTAAAGCATCCATAGGCAAATTTGGGCCTTCCAGGTGTTTTGGACTTCAACTCCCACCATTCCTAACAGCCTCAGGCCCCTTCCTTTCCCCCCTCAGCCGCTTAAGCAGCTGAGGGGGAAAAGGAAGGGGCCTGAGGCTGTTAGGGATTGTGGGAGTTGAAGTCCAAAACACCTGGAGGGCCCAAGTTTGCCCATTATTTATAGTGTTGTTTTGCTGATTTATAGTGTTTTTACAAGATGGCAAAAGCTACCACAGGTTGAGCATCCCTTTATCTGAAGTGCTTGGGACTAGATTCTGATCCCGCCCCCCTGGATTCTGGGATACTTGCAGATGGCTAATGTCTTGGGCGATGGGGCCCAACTCTGAACCCCTTCCCAGGCCGTGGGCAAGTGTACCTCCCGTGATGAGGAAGTAGGAGACCACCACCAGCGCGTAGACCGTCATGGCGGAGGGCATGTGCACCCAGCTGGGCCTCTTCAGCTTGAGGTTGGGGCACTCCAGCACCGTGAACGGGATCCGGTACAGCGACTCCATGCCGACTCCGAAAGCCCCGCTCTCCCTTCAGGCCGCAGCCACAGGTCTCACGCCCACCACCACTTCCGTACCGGATTGACCCACCGCGGCCACCGTCCGATCGAAGCCCTCTAGAATAGCCAGGTCCTGGAAGGTTTATAAAATTAACGTCGCCCAGAAATATATAAACCGCGAAATACCTGACGGCGAAAGAAATAGGGGCATAAACAATATTAGTGTAGTTATATATGAATTAAGCTTTTTTTTCTCCCCTACTCATATGTTTCCGGGTAAAACGCCCCCGCGACTGTTTATATATCTGCTAGGATCTTTGAACGTACGACGTGGCCTTTTGCTGGCTCGACGTGGCTGAAGGGAAGGGCCTTTTGAGAGTGGGCGGAGTAGATGAGATTTTGGCCCCGCCTATTTTGAGAAGCCACGCCCACATGAGGAAGCGGGCGCGAGTGGGCGGGGTAGATGAGATGTAAGCCACGCCTATTCTTATAAGCCACGCCCACACGGGGAAGCGCGCTGAATGGGCGGGGTAGATGAGATGTAAGCCACGCCTATTGCGATAAGCCACGCCCACATGGGGGGAAGGCGCGCTGAATTGGCGGGGTAGATGAGATGTAAGCCACGCCTATTGTGCTAAACCACGCCCACACGGGGAAAGCGCGCTGAATGGGCGGAGTAGATGAGATGTAAGCCACGCCTATTGCGATAAGCCACGCCCACATGGGGGAAAGCGCGCTGAATGGGCGGGGGTAGATGATATCTAAGCCACGCCTATTGTCATAAGCCACGCCCACACAGGAAGCACAAGTTCTTAGTTCCAATCATTCACACTGTTGAGCCCCCGGTGGCGCAGTGGGTTAAACCCTTGTGCCGACAGGACTGAAGACCGACAGGTCGCAGGTTCGAATCCGGGGAGAGACGGATGAGCTCCCTCTATGCGGGGACATGAAGAGAAGCCTCCCACAAGGATGATAAAACATCAAATCATCCGAGCGTCACCTGGGCAACGTCTGACGGCCAATTCTCTCACACCAGAAGCGAGTTGCAGTTTCTCAAGTCGCTCCTGACAGGAAAAAAAATAAAATTCACACTGTTGTACTTTCTGTAGGTTGATTCTACACTGTTGTATCCATGTTGTGTAATGCATGGAATAGTGGGGTTCGTAATTTGACGAGGCACCACAGCCCTCTTTGGTAGGGAAACTTCCAACTCCCATGATTCCATAGCTTTGAGCCAAGGCAATTCAAGTGTTGTTAAACTGCATTAATTCTCCAGTGTAGATGTGCTCCAGGATTCTGCATCTTCTGCAAGATATCTTGCAAGAATGCAAGATACTCCACTTTGGCAGGAAAAACGAAATCCAAAGATATAGAATGGGTGACGCCTGGCTCGAGAGCAGTACGTGTGAAAAAGATCTTGGAGTCCTCGTGGACAACAAGTTAAACATGAGTCAACAATGTGATGTGGTGCAAAAAAGCCAATGGGATTTTGGCCTGCATTAATAGGAGCATAGTGTCTAGATCTAGGGAAGTAATGCTACCCATCTATTCCACATCTGGTTAGACCACACCTGGAATATTGTGTCCAATTCTGGGCACCACAATTCAAGAGAGATATTGACAAGCTGGAATGTGTCCAGAGGAGGGCGACTAAAATGATCAAGGGTCTGGAGAACAAGCCCTATGACGAGCGGCTTAAAGAGCTGGGCATGTTTAGCCTGAAGAAGAGAAGGCTGAGAGGAGATATGATAGCCATGTATAAATATGTGAGAGGAAGCCACAGGGAGGAGGGAGCAAGCTTGTTTTCTGCTTCCTCGGAGACTAGGACGCGGAACAATGGCTTCAAACTACAAGAGAGGAGATTCCATCTGAACATTAGGAAGAACTTCCTGACTGTGAGAGCCGTTCAGCAGTGGAACTCTCTACCCCGGAGTGTGGTGGAGGCTCCTTCTTTGGAAGCTTTTAAACAGAGGCTGGATGGCCATCTGTCAGGGGTGATTTGAATGCAATATTCCTGCTTCTTGGCAGAATGGGGTTGGACTGGATGGCCCAGGAGGTCTCTTCCAACTCTTTGATTCTATGATTCTGAAGCAAACCCTGCTGAACCTTATAGGTCTTGCTCATATATGAACAATTATGCTAAGTAACAAAATTTGATTTTTTTCCCCTTCTGTCCTGGTTTGACAGTGTTTCCGGTGTAATTGTGCAGTACTTATATTGGGAGTTGTTATAGCATGCACCTACACCAAAGAATTCATGCAGTATGACACCTTTAACTGCCATTCCTCAATGCTATGGAATGATGGGAAAGGCACCATCAGGGTCTGGTGGAGGAGTATTGGATGAAGACCTAATGAGACCAAGGTTTGAATCCTCACTCTGCCATATAAATTCACTCTTACAAAAGGCAATGCCAAATCTTTCTGAATTAAGTCTTGCCAAAGTAACCCTAGGAGTCACGTTCAAGGAATTGACTTGAACTCATCCAGTGGCCAATGCCGAGGCATACCCATGTGCTGTATTTACAACTTCAAAGAATTTGGAACTGTCCCAGACATACTGAATAACACCTCCTTGATCTGATAAAACAATAGGTAACAGAATCTACTGAAATAATTTAAGAGATTCAAGATAAGTAAATAGATTCAAATACTTGTTAAAAATACCTTGACTTTTTGTTTACCATATTAAAGGGAGTGGCAAAATAAGGTATACCTAACAAGTTGCTTGTTAATGTTTTTTGCTTATCTTGTTTATGAGTTTATGTATTGTTTTTGCATTATTGCTGTTATTTAATGTTGTATTGTGGGCTCGGCCTCATGTAAGCCGCACCCAGTCCCTTGGGGAGATGGTAGCGGGGTACAAATAAAGTATTATTATTATTATTATTATTGCTGTTTTTCCTCTCACACTGGACACTCCAGATATATACACCTCACATCCTCTCAGGATGCCTGCCATAGATGTGGGCAAAACACTAGAAGAATGTTTCTGGAACATGGCCATACAGACCAGAAAATTCACAGGAACCCAGTGATTCCAGCCATGAAAGCCTTCGACAACACATATCCTGACAAGACCTGGTAATAGCAGTTAATACGTAGTTGTTGGGATTGGCTATATGGCAGCTGTTCTTCAAATACAAGGCCTCTGTATATCCCCCATCTTGAACTGTCTTACAGCATGAGCTGTAAAGCTTCCTGGTTTTTCAAATCATTGGCTAATGTATAATTTGGTACTTCAAACCTTAAACCTGTTTCTGGGTATATTAGAGCTGCTGATTCCAAAAATGGCATCAGTTTTCCCCTATCAGCTCTAGCTTTTGGGATACAGAACATTCATCAGCTCACCCATTTTAAAAAATCCTGATAACCACATCTAAGAAACTAGAGCTCATACAATTTTCTGAATCAGTCCTCCAGATACATTTTAGAAAGTATGGCAATTTGTATTATTTCACAAGCTAAATGCTATCCTGTGTAAATAAATATTCCACCCTGTCTGCCTGAGCAAAGTTGTGATCTACAGGTGAGTCACTTCATGTGATTGACTGACATAGAATCATAGAATTAAAGAGTTGGAAGAGACCTCATGGGCCATCCAGTCCAACCCCCTGCCAAGAAGCAGGAATATTGCATTCAAATCACCCCTGACAGATGGCCATCCAGCCTCTGTTTAAAAGCTTCCAAAGAAGGAGCCTCCACCACACTCCGGGGCAGAGAGTTCCACTGCTGAACGGCTCTCACAGTCAGGAAGTTCTTCCTAATGTTCAGATGGAATCTCCTCTCTTGTAGTTTGAAGCCATTGTTCCGCGTCCTAGTCTCCAAGGAAGCAGAAAACAAGCTTGCTCCCTCCTCCCTGTGGCTTCCTCTCACATATTTATACAATATTTATACATTCTCCTCCTCAGCATTTTAGTGACATTACTTGGTCCTTTTGCTATCTATAACTGTTTCCAAACGGAGACACCCATTCCTCCCCTTCCAAAAAAAAATCACACAGGGAAAAGTTATTTTTTCATTTATTATTAGGCAGACAATACAAATGTTCACTTTGATTTCTGACTTTGTGCTTGGGCCTTCAGCACTTTGACAACAATTTTCTGTTCCTCAATCAGGAATGCTCGTTTGATTCTAGGAGGAAAAAAATATAGTTTCAACAACAAGCATTTGTCTCATCACAAAGGATAATTCAGACACAATACAGAAAGAACACAAACAAGTCTTTTACTTGATTTGCTCATCTTCCTAGCATTCATCCATCTTAATGAATCACTTCTCAATCTGACTGAACTGTGCCCATAAATTGGGAATTGTGTAATGTTCAGAGCAAAGCTTAAAGAAGAGCAAGTATGAGGAAAGGATCAGCATAATATTTATTGAACTAAACAAAGGTAGTAATTTTGCACCTACGCAGTTGCTGGGTCAGGTATTGTATCTATTGCATTCTGGCATCTTCAAGATTTTGGCTTAAATGCACTACATAAATCATTCAAGAATGGCTTGGTGGCAGAGTGCCAAGAATGTTTCTGATGCCTATCATACAGACTACTGATGCCAGTGGTTCTGTTCTCTTCTACTAGGTAAATCACAGAAAGTACTCAAGGACTGCATCTAGCTCCCACAGCACAAACTAAGCTGTGTGGCGCTCCAAAGTACAATTTTATTTGTACCATTAACACCTATATACATTTATTTTAAGGATCAATGAGAATTTGAAAGTGCTTTTCCATGAGCAATGAAGTGTTAGGACTCTGGAAAATTTCAAGAGAAGAAACTATCATAACGAATGGAGAAAGAATACTGTACCAGCACAATATCAGAAACCTTACATAATGATCTCAGTTATAACAGGAAATGAAGTACAATTGAGGTTTAATGGAGTTTATTCATTTACCACCTTTTCCTGGTATCTCAACTATTCAGAGTAAGGTTACCAACTGCAATCCAGTTCATAAACTGGTGACTTCAAAATTTCCCTACTGTAATGGCATTGCATAGATTGGCTGTGAATCTGTTTTCAAGCAAGGTCAAGGCATTAATATTATATAGATAGATAGAAAACAGATTCACAGCCAATAAAGGTTGGGAATGGCTATGCCCCCTCCATCCCCACACTAACCACACACAAACTCTGAGGATGGGAAAGGGCTTGATGGTTTTAGATATTTGTTATTTTATAGCTTATTGCTAACACTTTGATATTTTTTAAAACCAAATATAAAAGTATTATAAATATAGAGAAGGCTTTCAAATTTGAACAGAACTCAACATAGTTATGTAGAAATCCAGTTACAACTGGGAATTATAAAAAGAAACTAGCTACACATTGAAAATGAGTAATGGCCCATGGCATCCAGCAGAAAAATAATGAACAGCATCCATTACCTGTCACGAACGCACTTAGCGCACATGGACCCTCCATAGGCTCTGCTAACATGCTTCTTTGTTTTAGACAGCCTCATAAGAACTTTGGGACGGACAGCCCGAACCTGTAAGGAGTGAAAAGACATTCCTATAAAAACAGCCCACTGCTTATAAGATCTAAAATTTGAAGTATATTAAAAGGGAATCGATTTTTTTCCCGCGTCATGAGCGACTTGAGAAACTGCAAATTGCTTCTGGTGTGAGAGAATTTGCCATCTGCAAGGACGTTGCCCAGGGATCACCCGGATGTTTGATGCTTTACCATCCTTGCGGGAGGCTTCTCTCATATCCCCACATGGGGAGCTGGAGCTAACAGAGGGAGCTAAACCCACTCTCCCCGGATTCGAACTGCTGACCTGTCAGTCAGCAGTCCTGCCGGCACAAGGGTTTAACCCATTGCGCCACCGAGGGCTCTGGCAACCAAATGAAAAGACAGCTTGCACGCCATCATTTTGCTTCTTAGTCAAAATAAATCACTTCTGAGTAAAATTATTCTCTTAAATGAACTGTTGATTATTATTTTACTGACACAAAAACACAGTATGTCACAGCAAACAAGATATATATGCTGGATTTTGTATCACAAAATCACAAGTCGAACACTTACTATTTATGCCCCACTTTATCTCCCCAAAGGGGACTCAAAGTAGCTTGACATAAAAGCATTAATATACAATTTAAAATATACAAATACTGTATACAAACATTAAAAGAGAATAAAGCACAAATAGCACTAAAATTATCAGTTAAAATCAGCTGTTAAAATGTACACACTTCATTTAGGTTCAATGGTGTTACTGTTTTATCATTATGCTGTTTTATACTGATCCAAACTTAGTGGAAACAAGAAAATATAGAAACATTAATAGTATTATTTTTATCTCTTATGGGAAAAAGTGGACAAACAAAGACTATAAAAGTTTTTTGAAATTCTCGCTTTTCACATGAATATACACCCCCCCCATGGATCAGTTTTCTGACAGATGAATGAAGAAAATAAATCCACTAAATTCAAATTGTGGGATGTTTCCTGATGCAAGACACTGAGCAGCACAGGATACCAACGCTCAAGAAACCAATCATTTACTGCCTACCCAGTTTTAATGACCAATGTTAAACTTCTACTCTATGTCTAACTTTTTTTGGTTTATAGTTGTTTAATCCTTTATTAGTTTCGATTCTATGTCTTGTCTTTATTTATTAAAACATAACTTTAGTTAACTCATGCCTACTTTGTTGTAATGTTTTACTTTTTCTTGATGTTGCTGTTTAATGTATTTACTTTGAGTTATGATTCTTTATCTTTCTGATCACACTTTACGACACTGCGGTTAGGAATTGTGGGAGTTGAAATCCAAAAAACCCGAAGGGCCAAAGTTTGCCCATGCCTGGTATACATACTTGATTTTCTCTGGAAAGCTTAAATAAATACAGGATTTAAAGCTCAATTACAATGCATAAAGCATGCAGATCTAGTAACAGATCCAGCTTTCCGCAGCTTGTGTGAACACAATGGTTTACAAACTAGTCACAATACTGCACTAAGCACAATAGTGAACAACATGCTATGGGAAATATGTACAATAAACACGAAGCAATTATCTTCAAATTTGTTTCAATTTTCATTACTAAAAAAAATCAATCCGACCAGTTCATAACCCACACACCCATTACTTTTTCCTATACACCCCACTATTTACATAGGAAAATATTAACACAAATGAAACAGAATAGACTTACACCACGAAGTCTTCCTGGGCACACACCACACGCAGACTTTGGTGCTTTCCCTACTTTCTTGGTGTAAAGGTAAACAATCCTGTTACCTGGTGTTCGGGACCTGCATAGATCAAAGAAATAGTCATTTCACCAAAGTGTCACAACATATAATTAATAAATGCAACTCAACTACAAGATTTATCAAGATCACACTTACAGCCTTGTCTTGTTAGACGCTGTGTTGTAGGACAGCCTACGACGGTATGTCAAACGCTGAACCATTTTGTCTGTGCAATGAAAAATAAATATAAACTTAAGAAAAACAATTCTTTAAGATGGCAATATAATATATATTTACAACAGTAAATGTGTCTTTGGCAATTTTGTTACTCTTTTAGACTGAACCAGTATCCACCAGCATGTATAGATATCTGCCTTCTACCACATTTGTTTTTATTTGTTTTACTGTAAAGAACAATGTACACTGTATGGCTCTCTATAAAAATGATGGTGACAATAATATACACCGCCTGTTTAAATATTTCAGGAAATTCTCAGGTAAACAATTTTAAAGAAGAATGGAACAACGCTTCACGTAGGGCATATCTACACCTTAACAGTAAACTCAAAAAGAAGTTCGCTCACATATCAAGTGGTGATATAACTAAACAACAGCTTTATTCCCATGTTTATTTTTTCCACAGAAAGCAATTCCTATAATATCCAAGTTTGTTAAGGAAATGCATGGTTGATCACATTTACCATTGTTATGCCAGTGTTTCTCAAACTGTGCTCCTCCAAGTGTTTTGGACTTCAGTTCCCAGAAATCCCGGCCAGCTTACCAGCTGTTAGGAATTGTGGGAGCAGAAGTCCAAAACATCTTGGGGGGGGGGGGCAGTTTGAGAAACTCTTGACTACACAATTTGGGATTTATCACCCCTTACCCTCAAAACACATCTTAAAAGTGAAATCTAATAAATGACCACAAACAGTGGGAAAAGGGACTTCAAAGGAGAAACAAAGATATGCACCCAGACAATTGAATCCTAAGCTATATCCTGATGATCTCCTTGTGTGTTATTTTATTCCCATCCACCATGGTCAACTTCATGTTAGAAGAGGATGATGGCCAATTGTGGTCCAAAACCTCTCTAGAGAAACTAGAAAGCCTGGGAAGACTGATCTATACTTTAAAAAACCACAAGTAAAAAGCACCCACCCAATTTTAAAAACCGAATGAAGCACAAATACACAAATGCTGAGTCAAGTTGTGGCTGTGAGGAAGCAGAAAATTCATTAAATTCACAGGATGTATAGAAGAGGACAGGATTAGAAATATGTGATGATTGTTAATGTTTAGTTTTACATATGTCGGTTGAGCATCCTCATTCCCAAAATTGAAATTGTCCACATGGGTGACTGAGATAGTGACACCTTTGATTTTATTAGATGAGGTTTTATATGTGGTTGTTTTTACAGTTATGTTGTTGTTTTATATACTTATGTATTGTTTGTTATGTACTGCACTTGAAGTCCTTTTATTAGTCCCTTTGGGAGATGGTGGGGGGGTATAAATATTTATTATTATTTCTGGTAATTCAATGTACATAAACTGTGTTTCGCACATCAAATTATTAAAAACTTTGAATAAAATTATCTTCAGGCCATGTGTAAAACATAAAATTTCAGGCTTGGAGTTGGGTTCCATCTCCAACATATCTCATTATGTACTTACATACAAATACAGGTCCAAGCAAAAAAATCAAAATCCAAAAATACTTTTGGTCCCAAGCATTTCATATAAGGCAGTGTTTCTCAACCTGGGGGTCAGGACCCCGGGGGGGGGGGGGGGGGGGGGGGGGGAGATGTTACAAGGGGATGTCAAAGGGATCGCCAAAGAACATAATAAAACACAGTATTTTCTGTTGGTCATGGGAGTTCTGTATGCCAAATTTGGTTTAATTCCATCGTTGATGGAGTTCAGGATGCTCTTTGATTGTAGGTGAACTATAAATCTCAGAAACTACAACTCCCAAATGACAAAATCACACCTTCCCCAGCCCCATCAGTATTCAAATGTGGGCATATTGGGTATTTGTGCCAAATTTGGTTCAGTGAATGAAAATACATCCTGCATATCAGATATTCACATTACGATACATAACAGTAGCAAAATTATAGTTATGAAGTAGCGACAAAAATAATGTTATGGTTGGGGGTCACCACAACATGAGGAACTGTATTAAGGGGTTGCGGCATTAGGAAGGTTGAGAACCACTGATGCGTATAAGGGGCTCTCTCAACCTCTATATTAATAACAGAAGGACTTTATGTATAAAATCTGAGCTGTATTATCAATACTTATATTTTATAGAGAGCACTGAGGAATCATTATTTGAGAGAGGTATAGATGGATCTGATAGGTTGTTATGGCTTAGTAACTACTAAAGATTGGAAGTTTCTTTTTCTTCCCTTTGTATCTATCTCTTTCCCTCCTCTTTTTGCCAGGTGAATATTTTATAAGTAATTTTTATTCAGAAAAGAAAACAAATAATAGAACCACAGTAATAAAACAAAACTAGCAAAATTGGGGGCATGAAAGACCAAAAACTGCGTAGTTACATTTTATCTACTCCTGAATTACAACTTAAGTCTCTGGGAAATAAAATAACAAAACATAAACACAAAAACAAAACATACACAAACTAATAAAATAATCAACTCCCTTTAAAGCAGGCACAGGCAAACTTGGGCCCTCTGGGTGTTTTGGACTCCAACTCCCACAATTCCTAACAGCCTGCCGGCTGTTAGGAATTGTGGGAGTTGGAGTCCAAAACACCCAGAGGGCCCAAGTTTGCCTGTGCCTGTTTTAAATTTATTATTTATGGCATTTATATGCCACCCTTCTCACCCCAGAGCGGCTTACAAGATATATATATATATATATATACATACACATCTCCAGCAAAGGATCACCGCCTTGTCGGGGCGCTGGAGCTTGAGCACCTCAATGATGTCATGAGCGAAACCGTGAAGGGCCACCCAAGACGGGACGGTTGTGGCAGAGAGGTCAGACCAAGCGTGATCCCTGGGGAAGGCAATGGCAAACCACCCCAGTATCCTTGCCAAGAAAACTAAATGGACCAGTACAACCAGAGATATGTCGGTATGCCATTGGAAGATGGGACTCCCAGGTCGGAAGATGGCCAAAATGCTACTGGGGAGGAGCAAAGGATAAGTTCAACTAGCCCCAGATGTGATGACGCAGCTAGCTCAAAGCCGAAAGGAAGGCTAGCGGCCGACGGTACTGGAGGTGAACGACGAATCCGATGCTCTAAAGATCAACACACCATAGAAACCTGGAATGTAAGATCAAATTGGATGTTGTTATTGGCGAGATGTCAAGACTAAAGATAGACATTCTGGGGGTCAGCGAACTGAAATGGACTGGAATGGGCCACTTCACATCAGATGACCACCAGATCTACTACTGCGGACAAGAGGAACATCGAAGAAATGGAGTAGCCTTCATAATTAATAAGAAATTCGCTTAAGCGGTGCTTGGATACAACCCAAAAAATGACAGAATGATCTCAATTCGAGTGCAAGGAAAGCCTTTCAACATTACAGTGATCCAAATATACGCCCCAACCACAGCTGCTGAAGAAGCAGAAGTAGATCAGTTCTATGAGGATCTGCAGGACCTACTTGATAATACACCAAAAAGAGACATTATTTTCATTACAGGAGACTGGAATGCCAAGGTGGGAAGTCAAATGACAACAGGGATCACAGGCAAGCATGGTCTGGGAGAACAAAATGAAGCGGGACGCAGGCTGATAGAAGTTTGCCAGGAAAACTCGCTGTGTATAACGAATACTCTCTTCCAACAACCTAAAAGACGGCTTTATACATGGACCTCACCAGATGGTCAACACCGAAATCAGATTGACTACATCCTTTGCAGCCAAAGGTGGCGGACATCCAGCCAGTCGGTGAAAACAAGACCTGGGGCTGACTGTAGCTCAGATCACGAACTTCTTATTGCTCAATTTAGAATAAAACTAAAGAGATCAGGGAAAATACACAGACCAGTTAGATATGATCTCACTAACATTCCTAGCGAATATACAGTGGAAGTGAAGAACAGATTTGAAGGACTAGATTTAGTAAACAGAGTCCCAGAAGAACTATGGACAGAAGTCCGCGACATTGTTCAGGAGGCGGCAACAAAGTACGTTCCAAAGAAAAAGAAAACCAAGAAGGCAAAATGGTTGTCTGCTGAGACACTGGAAGTAGCCCAAGAAAGGAGGAAAGCAAAAGGAAACAGGGATAAGGGGAGATATGCCCAGTTAAATGCGCAATTCCAGAGGTTAGCCAGAAGAGATAAGGAACTATTTTTAAATAAGCAATGCATGGAAGTGGAAGAAGACAACAGAATAGGAAGGACAAGAGACCTCTCCCAGAAAATTAGAAACATTGGAGGTAAATTTCAGGCAAAAATTGGTATGATAAGAAACAAAGATGGCAGGGACCTAACAGAAGCTGAAGAGGTCAAGAGAAGGTGGCGAGACTATACAGAAGATCTGTATAGGAAGGATAATAATATTGAGGATAGTTTTGACGGTGTGGTGAATGAATTAGAACCAGACATCCTGAAGAGTGAGGTTGAATGGGCCTTAAGAAGCATTGCTAACAACAAGGCAGCAGGAGACGACGGGATCCCAGCTGAACTGTTTAAAATCTTAAAAGATGATGCTGTCAAGGTGATGCATGCCAGTTGCCAGCAAATATGGAAAACACAAGAATGGCCATCAGACTGGAAAAAATCAACTTATATCCCCATACCAAAAAAGGGAAATGCGAAAGACTGCTCAAACTTCCGTACAGTGGCCCTTATTTCTCATGCCAGTAAGGTATTGCTCAAGATCCTGCAAGGAAGACTCCAGCAATACATGGAGCGAGATTATATATTACTATATTGTACTATAACATTATACTGCAATATTATTAGTAACATTATGATTAAATATTTTATATTATATGTAATATAATATTAGTATTAATATTATATTGTATTACATATCTATATAAATAAAAATGTAATGTTCGTTTGTGATACCATCAGAACTCAAAAACCACTGGGGGAATTGACACCAAATTTGGACACAAGACACCTAACAACCCAATGTATGTCCTCCACTCAAAAAAAAAAATGATTTTGTCATTTGGGAATTGTCGTTGCTGGGATTTATAGTTTACCTACAACCAAAGAGCATTCTGAACTCCACCAATGGAATTGGGCCAAACTTAGCACACAGGGCTCCCATGACCAACAGAAAAAACTGGAAGGGTTTGGTGGACATTGACCTTGAGTTTGGGAATTGTAGTTTACCCACATCCAGAGAGCACTGTGGACTCAAACAATGATGGATCTGGACCAAACTTGGCACGAATATTCCATATGCCCAAATATGAACACAGATGGAGTTTGGGGGAAATAGACCTTGACATTTGGGAGTTGTAGTTGCTGGGATTTATAGTTAACCTACAATCAAAGAGCATTCTGAACTCCACCAATGATGGAATTGAACCAAACATGGCACACAGTTCTCCCATGACCAACAGAAAATACTGGAAGGGTTTGGTGGACATTGACCTTGAGTTTGGGAATTATAGTTCACCCACATCCAGAGAGCACTGTGGACTCAAACAATGATGGATCAGGACCAAACTCTACACAAATACTCAGTATGTCCAAATGTGGACACTGGTGGAGTTTGGGGAAAATAGAATCTTGACATTTGGGAGTTGTAGTTGCTGGGATTTATAGTTCACCTACAATCAGTGCATTCTGAATCCCACCGATAGAGCTAGGCCAAACCTCCCACAGAGAAACCCTATGTGGGCCACAGCAACGCGTGGCAGGGGGTAGCTAGTAGTATTATAAATGTTATATGTATATACAATATATTATATTATAGGATATTGTATAATCATACTTCTACTTTGAGTAACATTCACAGAACGTATTTTACATAAGAGAATATTTGACAGAAAATTTCATACGACGTCATAATATGTATGGCTTTGTATTAATATGTCAGTAATAATATGTATGGCTTTGGAGACTCGAAGGCCTCATTTGAGCCGGTACGAGGAGAGGCCTTCCCTTGACAGCGCCGTCCAGGCTCGTTTTTTCTCGTTCCTCGAAAGCAAAACCCCTTTCATTCTTTCCCCCAAAGTCCTGGCCACCCCAAGAATTACTCTTAAGCCCCCCAACCCTTTTATCCCACCCGATGGAAACGGATTGAACCCAAAAACAGAAGCAGAAAAAGGCCTTACCACCAGCTAGCGCCGACGCCGGAAGAGAAAGGAGGACTTGGCCGGAAGCGATGCTTCAAACGCGAACGCAAAACCCGGAAGTATGTTTACGCGTTCTCCGTACGCAATAGAAGGAAGACAGGGCGCCGCCATCTTGTACGGCAATAGGAAGAAACATGGGGACGGTCTGAATTTGGGAGGAGAGTTATGCAGTTGTGTTATACTTCCAGATTTTAAAAGCGTGATGAAAAAGTTAGTATCTTTAATATGTGTTGAAGATACATATAGAAAACACAGAGTAAGTTATGTATTTGTTGTTTTTAACGGCATATTGTACTATGCTTGGTTAGACCACACCTGGAATATTGTGTCCAATTCTGGCCATCACAATTGAAGAGAGATATTGACAAACTGGAATGTGTCCAGAGGAGGGCGACTAAAATGATCAAGGGTCTGGAGAACAAGCCCTATGAGGAGCGGCTTAAAGAGCTGGGCATGTTTAGCCTGAAGAAGAGAAGGCTGAGAGGAGACATGACAGCCATGTATAAATACGTGAGAGGAAGTCATAGGAAGGAGGGAATGAACTTGTTTTCTGCTGCTCTAGACACTAGGATGCAAGAGGAGGGCGACTAAAATGATCAAGGGTCTGAAGAACAAGCCCTATGAGGAGCAGCTTAAAGAGCTGGACTGAGAGGAGACATGATGAGGGCAGTGTATAAATAAGTGAGGGGAAGTCATAGGGAGGAGGGAGCAAGGTTGTTTTCTGCTGCCCTGGAGACTAGGATGCGGAACAATGGCTTCAAACTACATGAAAGGAGATTCCATCTGAACATTAGGAAGAACTTCCTGACTGTGAGATCTGTTCAACAGTGGAACTCTCTGCCCTGGAGTGTGGTGGAGGCTCCTTTGGAAGCTTTTAAAAGAGGCTGGATGGCCATCTGTCAGGGGTACTTTGAATGCAATATTCCTGCTTCTTGGCAGGGGGTTGGACTGGATGGCCCATGAGGTCTCTTCCAACTCATGATTCTAGGCAGAATATATATATAAAAATGCTCTGTGCATAACGAGTACCTTAAAAACAAAAGAACCAATGAACAAAATCACACCAAATTTGGCAACAAAACGTCTCACAATACAAGGAGTGACCATCACTCAAAAAATTATGATTTTGTAATTTGGGAGTTGTAGTTGCTGGGATTTATAGTTCACCTACAATCAAAGAGCATTCTGAACTCCACACCACATGAAACTCCCATGACCAAAAGAAAATACTGGAAGGGTTTGGTGGGCATTGACCTTGAGTTTTGGAGTCGTAGTTCACCTACATCCAGAGAGCACTGTGGACTCATATAATGATGGATCTGGACCAAACTTGGAACAAGCACTCAATACGCCCAAATATGTACACAGATGGCATTTGGGGAAATCGACCTTGACATTTGGGAGTTGTAGGCACTGGGATTCACAGTTCACATACAATAAAAGAGCATTCTGACCCCCACGAACGACAGAATCGAGGCAAACGTCCCACACAGAACCCCCATGACCAACAGAAAATACTTAAGGCCATCCAATCCAACTCTCTTCATCAAGGCAAGAAAACATAATCAAAGTCCTCCTGACAAAGAGCCATCCAGCCATCAATATAGATAGATAGATAGATAGATAGATAGATAGATAGATAGATATGATTCACACACACACACAGATATAGTATAGATTTGAAAAGGACCCTTAAAGAAGAACAATGATATTTTGCATGTTCTGGGGAGGGCAAACCAGACACTCTCCACATTAACACTGACAAAGAAATAGCAAGAAATACTCTTTACCCACAAGCATAAAGAAATTACATATATTAGAGACCAACACTTTCTCATTCCTTTATTTTCCAAATCAACAGACTGGGCCACAGCAATGCGTGGCAGGGGACAGCTAGTTGTATGTATATATATCTTGTAAGCCGGTCTGAGTCCCCTTTGGGGTGAGAAGGGTGGCATATAAATGTCATAAATAAATAAATAAATTTGAAAACTTTTTTCTGTTGTATTAAAAGCATGCCAAATGAAGTTCTAAAAGAACAGCACAAAATATCAGAATTAAACCTCAATTCATTTCAAAATTACTGCATTTAGCTTCCACCAGGCGACAAAACATTTGTAGAACTATGCTCTCATTTAATCTTGGGGTGCATCTACACTGTCAAATAATGCAGTTTGACACCACTTGAACTGCCCTGACTCAAATGCTATGGAATCTTGGGAGCTGTAGTTTTGTGAGGCACCAGCACTCTTTGGCAGAGAGGGATAAAGACCTTGTTAAACTACAATGTCCCAGATTTATTGTGCCATGGCAGTTAAAAGTGTATTATTTTTAGAGTGTAGATCAGGTATGGGCAAACCTGGGCCCGGGGGCGAGATGCGGCCCCTTGGGCTTTTTTCTCTGCCCTCCTCTCTCACCATCCTTTCCTTTCATTTCCTCTTTCCTTTCCTTTTTCCTTTCCTTTCCTTATTTCCTTTCCTTTTTCCTGTCCTCTTTCCTTTTGTTTCCTTTCTTCTTTCCTTTCCTCTTTCCTTTCTTTTCCTCTTACCTGTCCTCTCCTCTCCTCGGCTGTTAGGAATTGTGGGAGTTCCAAGTCCAAAACACATGGAGGGCCAAAGTTTGCCTGTGCCTGCTTTAGAGTATCCATTCATTGCATCATTGTTTGTTTGGATCTCCCATCCAAGTGCTAACCACATCTGACCTTGCTTAGGTTCCAAGATTGCATGGGATCTGGTGTGCTTTTGATATTCAGGCCCTAGACCAGGGTCCTCAAACTAAGGCCCGGGGGCCGGATATGGCCCTCCAAGGTCATTTACCCTCGCTCAGGGTCAACCTAAGTCTGAAGTGACTTGAAAGCACACAACAACAACAACAATCCTATCTCATCAGCCAAAAGCAGGCCAACACTTCCCATGGAAATACTAATAAGTATTTGTTAACATTGTTCTTCATTTTAATTATTGTATTGTTTTTAAGTGTTTTTTTTTCACTACTAATAAGATATGTGCAGTGTGCATAGGAATTCATTCATATATTTTTTTCAAATTATAATCCGGCCCTCCAACAGTTTGAGGGACTGTGACCTGGCCCTCTGCTTAAAAAGTTTGTGGACCCCTGCCCTAGACAATACAGTGATCTATGAAAATTTCTTCCATAGATTAAGACTGGCAGATGTAGCTCAAACCCAATACGAGAAGGCCATCCGTTTGCTCCAACCTGGGTGAAACTCCATCAGGTGTCTTCAGCATCAAAGAAAGAGCAGCTGTTAGACCTTCTCATTAACCATAAACTACAAAGAGAAATGATGGAAAATAGGGATAGGCAGAGGAGCCTTTTGCACGGTTGCTGGGCAACACAAGAGCGCCTTGTGGTCCTGCAATAATCCCCTAGCAACCGCAAGAGTGATTTCTCTCCTTTGCATCTTTCCTGCCTTCAGCTGTGCCAAGATGAATTTGACTGGAAGTAGTATATTATTACTGGCATCTGCTTGAAAATGACACAGAGGTAAAACACTGACCAACCAACTCAATAAACTTAGTTTCTTAAGACCGAAGCCTAAGAAGTTACCATTCACTTCTAGGCTGGATATAAGAGATAGAGGCCTATGTGTTTTCTTTCACTTTGAACGTGCTTTAGAAGGTAAAACCAAATTATAATTAAGTATCCCCTCCACATTTGCAGTTTTTAATTTTGCAAATTTGATTACTGTACCGTTCAACATCTTTATTAATGACTTGGATGAAGGATTATTATTATTATTATTATTATTATTATTATTATGCTTTTTCTCTCTATATGGAGACTCAAAGCGGCACACAACTAAAAACATTGCAATACAATTTAAAGTATTAAAACAGTATTAAACATTATTAAATATATTATATCATACTAATAGTATAATATACTGGTAGTGTTTGTGTGTATATATATTTAGAGAGAGAGGGGGAGGGAGGGAGGCATAATAATATAGTACAATATAATAATATATAAGTATATTGGAGGAAGAGGAATAGAGCTTGCAATACTGATAAATGGAATGGAAAGGAAATGGTTTTGGCACTCTACTATAGCTGGCTTTTAATTGCTTAAATCATGTTTATTTTAATGATAATTTTTATATTACTTGTGTTAATTCACTGTATAATTATAATATTGTATTGTTTGCTTTTACTGTGTTGGGAGCCACCCTGAGTCCCCCTGAGGAGATAAGGTGGGCTACAAATAAAGTATTTATTGTTATTATTTATTTATTATATTTATAATAATATAATAATTATATATTATACATTACATGTAATATTAGTAATAATGTTGCAGTATAGTGGTATAGTACAGTTTTGTCGAAGGCTTTCATGGCTGGAATCACTAGGTTCTAGTGGGTTTTTTTGGGCTGTAGGGCCATGTTCTAAATGCCTCTAGAACATGGCCCTATAGCCTGAAAAAACCCACAAGAACATAGTACAGTTTAATAATATATAATACTAATATTATGCTATTCTAATAATATAATATATTATACTGTATATACATATAATACTAATAATATTATAATGTAATTCAATATAATAATAATACAATACAATTCTTATAATATATTGTACTGTGTATACATATAATACTAATATTATAATGTAATTCAATATAATAATAATACAATATAATATATAGAATATTGATACTAATATATTAAATATAACACTACTGATAATATATAATAATATATAATGATAATACAGTTTTATTATTGTATATTTTATGTTGTAATGTTTTTAATTGTGAACCACTTTGAGTCTCCGTATGGAGAGATAAAGCAGGAAATTAATTAATTAATTAATTAAAAGCATATAAAGGGCATTCTTATCAAGTTTGGAGATGACACCAAATTAAAAGTGTTATCTAGTACTCCAGAGGACAGGATCAGAATTCAAAGCAACCTCAACCTCAACAGATTGGAGAGCTGGGCCAAAACAAACAAAATGAATTTCAACAAGGACAAATATAAGATACTACACTTAGGCAGAAAAATTGAACTGCAACGATACAGGATGGGTGATGC